CTACCGTTGCCAATTCCTTTTCATCAAAATGAAAATTATTTAATTCAATTAATTTAATTTAATTGAGTATACGGCTAAGAGTAACTAATCGATAATTTTTACAATAAATTTTACAATCGCATCCTTTTGCTGAAGTTGGTACAAATGGTTCTTTATCAATCGCAACAAAGGATGAGTTGGGTAAATGGTGCCTAAGCTACTCATGGAACTTAAGGAATCTCTTATTATTAGGCACCTGTCTAAGTTGGCGTTCAGTGCATATTCTGATGCTTTGTAGATTGCGAATAGTTCTTCTGTATATACTGTGCTAAAATTTGAAATTTTGTATGAAGCACTGTAGTCGTTGTGTATGAGGGCACATCCCACTCCTTTTTGTGATTTGGAGGCATCAGTATAAATATGTTGGTAATTCTGGTACTCATCAATTTTACTGTAAAATTGTTAAATTGTTTAACCATAGAGGAAGTATTAAGTTGATTACTAGTATTTGTTAATCTCAAGTCTAGGAAGGGATTTCTGACCATCCAAGGAGGAGTGGTTAAAAGAGGAGATTGGTATATTTTAGGGAAGACAATATTATTGCTGGTCATGTATCTATTAAGTCTTTCATAAAAAGGAAGAGAGTAACTTTATTTTGTTCCAAAAGTGAATACAATTGACAGTTTACATTGTACCAATCTTAACTTTATTTAAATGACATATTTATGTATTCTCTCGTTTAAAGATGAATAAAAGATTTTGTCAGTTTTAGAGACCAGTTCATGTTGTTATTCTTATTTACTGGAAAACCTAGTACTTGTGTTGCAACAATAATATCGTGTCAAAAATGAATATTTCTGACTCTGTAGTTGGGTATTCATTTTTTCAAATTTTTGTTTTGCCTATCGTGTATGTAAGTTGACAATCATTACTAGTGGAATTTGAGAATTGTAAATTCAACAAATCTAAATGATTGATTCTGCATTTATTGTATGTAAGTAGTAACTAGGTATTTGGCTCTGAAATATTTTAAAATTGAATAAAATCGAAGTTAATTTTGATTCTAGTACATCAAGTAAAAATAGAAGCAGGTATACGAAAACTGTTAGTGATTAATACTGTTTGAAGGTATGTTGAATAACAAACTCCAAAAATATCTCATCAAACAGAATAACTACGTAAGTCGGTACAGGAGGTTAACAAAATATATATTTTTTTGTTTATCCTTCCTGCCTTTGTATTAAGCAAGTTCTTTGTGCTATTTTAGGTGGTTAGAACTTCTTTTTCTTGGGCTTTACATCTGGTGATGTTCATACGATAAACATATTATAAATACAATATCTATCAAATACCAAAACTGACAGTTCGGGTCCAATTTGCAATTATTAAACAACGGATGTATTGGTATTGTACAACTCTTAAAAATCTAACACATAAAATGGTTACAATTATTTTAGTTCATGACAATTCCGCCAGGTACAAGGGTACATAACACTATGTCCGGATGGTAAATAACGGTGCATACTACTGCATACATTTAGTAGAGGTAAACAACACCAAGTCCACAAGTGGTGTTGTTTACCTCTTGTTGTTGGTGGTGTTTATTAAAAAGTTGGTAACTTGCCGTAAAATTGTCTCTGGACATAGTATAGTTTATATCTGTGCAAAGCCAGAAAAGTTATATTCAAAAGTGCAATAATCCCAATTTTGATAAAAGTGGACATAAAGTGTCGTTTACCTCCGGGGTACAGAATTATGCTCAATATTATCTCGCATGGAAATTGTCCCTGGGGATACCACTTAAAAAACGCGCCTCCAGACTAATTTCTTATAGGTGGTCGGAAAAATGTCGACAATAAACTAATAATAACCTAAGAATGTTAACAAAATAATAAATTATATGAATAAACAAATATATGATAAAAAAAACTAAGCCTAATTGTTCGTTTTTTCGTATTCTTACGACTATTCAAGAACCCAGTCATCTTCATAGTGCTGTAAAACGCAGAGAAATTAATTGTAATTAAACGAATTAGTAAAAATTATAACGCTCTATAATATTGATTTAGTGTCATTTTATTGTAATATAACCAGAAAAAAGTTAAGGCCCACAAAAAATTTTTAGTTATTTTTTTAATAACTTTTTTATTTTCCATTTTACTATTCGAAGTAATAGGAATAAAGTTGTAGACAATTTAATCGGCTACAAATAATGACTGATAACATTCTTTGTTGGGTTGTTAGTTTACGAGAGAGTGCGTGAAAACCCCTTGCCCTCCTTTTTCTCAAAATGGCGGACGGAGGACAAGAGTGACGATCCCATAAATTGAATATTTAGAAACCTTTTTGGATAAGCTTTTCTGCAAATATTCTTTTGCAATTTTAGTTGATTTTTAACCAACAAGTTCTTTTAAATCTAGACTGTTCCCACCAGGATTGTATAAGAATACTAGTAGACAGTCATCTGATGTCAAAACTCGTAGACATTTTTTACATTTGTGAGCCCCAAAAATGTAGCTATTTTGATTCGTATTTTCCACAAGATTGAACCTAACACTTTATGCTTGATATATTTTTTGTTAACACACTCGTCACTTATCGTAACAGTAATCTTGTAGTGTAACCAGTCATTCATAATGCACAAAATGCAACATACTTTATCAATATCGTAAGCAAAAATCGATGATAGACATATGTCATAATAATATCAGTTCTTCGTCAAAACAACATTTAAGTGAACAAAAAAAGTAATAACTTTATCTACATATATTTGATTTTATCAAAGAACAAAGCAAATTAAAATATTTTGCAATAGTCGCACTTTATACGTTTTCTACCAGATTATAGTTATAGTATACTATTTACAATCATCTTGATTGGTAAGTTTCAGTATTTGTTAATATTAGTTTTCTAAGATGGTAATATGAGAGACTTACATTGCATTAACATCACTATAACCATCTACTATATTATGTTCCATTTTGGTTTTTGTTCCTATTAATTGATTATCAATTTGTCGTTTAGCGGAACACCTATTGTACTTCATATCCTTTAGCCAGCACCAATGAGAATCTATAACAAACTATCACTGAGCAATGAGAATCGATAACAAATCGATATCACTGAGCAATGACGCAATTCGACTCTGAGATGACAATTTAATTATCTCTAACGCTTGATTCTTTATAACATAGATTAGAATGATCTACACTACACTGATTTTCAGATATTTTAGTTTCTTCACAGAATAGTATCCCATAATATTTATGATGTAGCCGATAGGTAGTTTATGTCCCCATACTTAAATAAAATTGTTTAACATTTCCTTTCTTTTACTGTCATCATCATTGCGTCGGTTTTCCATGAATCTGTAATCGAATGAGGTGATTATTGTGTGGCAACTTGATTGAATGTTGTCTTTCCATTGTGTTCTGGGACGCTCAAATGTTCTTTTCTCTGTGAGAATCTTCTTTCAAATGAGTTTTAAACAACTTTTCGTTATGAAGTCTATGTAACTGTCCTCATCATCATCATCATTTGTGCTACAGCCCTATCAAAGAGCCTCGATCTTCTTAAGTCTATTACGCCAGTCAGTTCTATCCATTGCCAAATGTTGACAGTTTGCTGCGCCTATTTTTCTACCATTCTCATCTACACCATCCCTCCATCTGATTTTTGGCCTACCCCTACTTCTACTGCTCACAGGTTGTGACATAAGGATTCTTCTAGGAGGGTTGTTCTGCGGTGATCTTGCCAGATGTCCTGCCCATCTTAGTCTTCCTATTTTTGTGAGAGATAATACGTTTTTACCACCAAATATATATTTATATCTGCGATATATCTCATAGTTGTACCTTCTTCTCCAAACACCATTTTCACAGATGTCACCGAATATTCTTCTCAGGATCCTTCGTTCAAATATAAGCAGGAGGTTTTCATCTGCCTTGGAAATGGTCCATGTCTTCGATCCATATGTCAACACTGGTTGTATAAGGGTTGTGTATATGGTTATTTTGTTTTTTTGGCTTAACTTTCTGCTTCTCATATGTCTACTCAATCCAAAATAGCATTTGTTTGCTAGGATTATTCTTCGCTTGATTTCTTCCGTCATGATAAGGGAGACTAAGTATGTAAATTTGTCCACCACTTCAAAGGTAGAGTTATCAACAGTGAATTGGTGGCCGATGTTTCTGGCTCTATTGTTGGGTGTTGATGCCATTATCTTAGTTTTCTCCTCATTTACTTGCATGCCCATATTTTTTGAGGCATTTGACAAGGTGGTATACATTTCTTCTAGTTTGCGTGTTGTGCGGGCAACTAGGTCAACATCATCTGCATATGCCAAAATTTCGGGTGATTTATTAAAAATGTTTCCTCTGTTGTCTATTTGGGCATCCCTGACCGCCTTTTCCAGAGCTATGTTGAAATGGAGAAACGCCAGCGCATCTCCCTGTCGCAGTCCAACATGTGTTTCAAATGCCTGTGATTGTTCGCCCTGTATTTCGACTTTGCAAACCACATTACGCATTGTAGCCTTAACCAATCTTATCAGTTTATCGGGGATGTGAAATTGATCCATGGCGTCATACAATTTATTTCTTAGGACACTCATCACATTACCTTTTTTACAAAAAGCCGCATTAACCGTAAAGGATATTAGCGGGTGTTTAACGATTACAATATGTATATATAAAATTAACATAAAAATTTACCATCTACAAACTGTTACATTTTCTGAAATTATTTAATGTCCTGAATATTTAAGTGTATTTAATAAGTTGAAGTTCAATATATTTAAGCTGACTTGGTTCTTCGGGAATGTTGTTGATACTTAGTGCATACGAGTAAAGTGGACATTCTGATATAATTACCATTATTTTGTTTCTATATTTGTTCTTATTCTATTCTAATTTTTCGTCGTATCATGGTGAGGTTCAAAAATCTTGTTTTTACTACACGAAACTTTGTTATTTAAATTTTATTTTATTGACAAAATATATAACATAAATTTTCTTTTTCAGCAAATTCGCCATGTTAACCCAATTTGTACCGCTAGCTTTGCTAACGGCATCCCTGTTCCTCCTAATAGACACAGGAGAAAGTTGCAACGAGGCCGTCTGTGGTAGTGTGGTCAGCAAATGTCTACTAACGAAATCCTGCAACTGCGACTTGAAGAACTGTACGTGCTGCAAAGAATGTATCAATTGTCTGAGCTATCTCTACAGCGAATGTTGTTCTTGTGTTGGTAAGTTTTTTTACACGTTTTATTCTTAGAAGATATTTTTTTAAAAACTACTATTTTTGTACCTTTTTTAATAGTACTGCTACTGTACTAATGATTTTTAAAGTTTTAACTGGTTTTTTTCTCTAAAACCATTTGGCAGGTTTGTTGTTTCCATTGACAGGGAAGATTGCATCATTCTTGATTGCCTTACAGCTCTGGCATTACAATATTTTTTAGAGACACAATTAACCTTGGCAATGACATTCCAAAATCGTTCTATATACTTCTGTCCATCCGGTTGGCAAATCTTCTCCATTCAATTGTGTCTCGAAATGTTTTATGTACCATACGAAATAGTTTTTCCGATCAATTTTTGTTGCTGCCAAATTCTTTCTAATTTTTAAGTTTTTGAGGAATCCATACCTTATTTTATCTATCCATATATTAGAAATATCAAGTAAACATTAATGTTCTTCACTTATACAGGCATATTATCAGTTTTTCTCAAACATTGCTTCTAGTGTTGCCCAAATGCAAGAACAAGACGAGACTTAGACAGTCTTGGTCTTGGTCTTGCACCAATATACCTGGTCTTTGTCTTGGTCTTGCAAGTCTCGCAAATACCTATTAGTCTATTACTATTTATTAAACGTTACTTTAGATCTTGGAACAACGTAAGACAGTAGGTACATTTTAAGCTTGAATTAACATAGCTATAAAAAGACCAACCAAATTAATAAATGTCTAAACAAGTGACACTGAAATCTCGCGCCATTTTCTATAAAGTCGGATATTCTGTCTCATGCGTCCTCCACCACTCTAAAATGTCTTCGGAGTTGGCGGCTCTGGGTTTACTTAGGTACCCTTGATGATAAGATCCAGATGAAGTCGAGGAGCATTCATACAGTTTCACAAAGTCTATTAAGTCTTCATCTTCATCATATTCAGATACTTTCTTTTCATTTCTTGGTGATTCTAGAGATTTATTCACTGAGTGTAGAGTTTTATATTCATTATAAAGTTCATTAAATTTTCGCAGGCTTTCTGTTTTAATTTACTTTCCCCATAACGTCATGATAAAAGTCTGAGCCTTATGCTTTGGGTCTAAAATTAAAGAGATACAATAAATCCAGTTGCTTTTCTTATAATGTTTAAGCATTTTGTCTCGAGCTGCTTGAAAACCAAGAATGAGCCTTTTATCCTCTTCAGATCGATTAAGTTTCTCATCTAATTGTTTTACGATGGATTCAATTTTATCGAGCAAGCGATTGAATGATACAATCACTAGTGGTAAGGTAACATATTTTTCTCCACTAATTTTCGTTGACAAAAGTTTAAAGTTTATTAGAAACTTATGTACTTTTTCGAGTATTTGCCATCCACTATCTGTGATGTTAAAATAGTTCAATTCGGTGATAGATGTGCACAATATGTTAATGCCAATTCTCACTTTTAGCCGCATGCTTTCAGCAAATTTTGAATGATATCATTGCTTAGTCAGCCGAAAAGATGTTTAGTCTTAGGCCGATAAGATTTGTGGTATTTAAATTCTTCGTAACTAAATTATAAAAAAAAATATGTTAACCTAATTATATTTTTTATCAGCTAAGGTGACACATTTTTAAAAAGTTTCGATACGATATTACTGTCGGCGTCGCAAAGCAAAGATATTATTTTATTATTAGAAGGGGCTATTCTCAAAATCTAGACAATTAATTTCAGAGCGAAGAAGTAGTGTGCTGGAAAAGAATGTACAAAATATTTTATTATAACATTGTAATTATGACCTCTGAGTACGTGTCAAATTTTTAAGTGTTCTTGTTATGAATATTTTGATTCGCTATGTATGTTTATGGTATTTTTCGTAATACACAAGTCAAATTTTCCAAATTTTTGTTAATACTTCTTTGCGTCTCATAGAGTCTCTACGCATACACCCGAACTAGTATACTCCCTAAAACTACACTCAGTCCTAACTGCAAGACGCAAGAGTCTCGCAGGCTTAGTCTTGTTCTTGCTCAAGTTTTGCACGGTTAGTCTTGGTCTTGGTCTTACAAAAACGCAAGAACAAGACCAAGACTGCAAGACCAAGACCGAATTTGGGCAACACTAATTGCTTCTTATGCTATTGGAATGTCATCATTCCATTTCATTCTAGATCAACCTTATGTGTCTTCTTCCAATTGGATACTTGTATCAGGATATTATAACTATTCTTCTTTCTGCTATTTATTAATGTCTGTACCATTTTTCCTTTTTATATTGCATCCACTCATTTATGTTTTCTAACCTGCACACGCTTCTGATCTCATTTCATTCATTCTAAGTACCTTAGTGTTGTGCTAGTTTTAGATATTGTTTAAGCACTTGTTATCATGACAGGTATCTTGTTGCAAAGTGTCGTTATTTCCAGACAATATACCCTTTCATGATTTGTTGAAGGGGAGTTCTTTGGTTTTCATTACTACTAATGAAATTACTTGAGTACTACTTAAGTAAAGTAATAAGTATTTTATAGCATTCCTTCATACTTCTTTTAACTTCATTCCAAAAGCGCAAGTGCCAGTAAAAAAATATCAAACAATTTGTAATTGACACATTAAAGTGTTGGTAATAATTACTCAAATAGGTAATGTGAACTTTATTAATAATATTTTGGTATTTTCATGGTTTTTATAACCTTATTATTCCTTATTTTTAGTGTTCTTATTACTTTTTAACTACTCAAAAGGATAATATATCTTTTCTCCATTGTTTGTGTCATAAATTATGAATATTTTCGTATTAACAGTTGTTTGTAGTATTCCTTCCATTAATTACTATTAAACTGGGAATAAGCCACAATTAAAGATAAAAATACGTTTATTGACGTTTCAATTTCCACTTCGGAAATCGTTCTCAAAATACAAACAGTAAATTAAACAAATTTTGTTTTTTTGTTACATAGTGAAAAATTCTTCTAATAATTTAATTTTATCTGACTCATTTATATTGACAATTCAGACATACATTATGCATTTTAAAGTAGACTATTATATGGAATCACTAACAGGAGAATTTTACTGTCATCATGTCATGTGTTTGTCTTTTTAAAGACGAATTACATGCTATGATTTTTTTCTGACGGATATTCTCAAGTTAAAGTTGATTTCATGTAATCGAATGAACTATCTTATAAGTAAAGTCGTCCCAGGAGCGCAACTCAACAATATTGGCAATATCATTTTAAAGTCGTCTACTTTAAAATGCATAATGTATGTCTGAATTGTCAATATAAATGAGTCAGATAAAATTAAATTATTAGAAGAATTTTTCACTATGTAACAAAAAAACAAAATTTGTTTAATTTACTGTTTGTATTTTGAGAACGATTTCCGAAGTGGAAATTGAAACGTCAATAAACGTATTTTTATCTTTAATTGTGGCTTATTCCCAGTTTAATAGTAATTAATTCACAATGCCACAAGAAAATAGCTTCAGAACAATATTCCTTCCATTCTTGTAATTTGATTTAGCCAATTTAAATTATCTCTTTTTTTTTCAACCTGTTTTTTTACCTCTCTCTACGATTTTTTATATGAACCCTCTATCTCCTGTATAATTAAATATATACATAGTAAAAGAATATAAATAATAAAAAAAATTAAAAAAAAGAACATTTGTTTTTCATCTCAAATTCTTTTTGTGTGGTCATGCTGCAGTTATAAAATATACGCGCAAGACCTTTACCATCTTTGTATTTCTTGTAGCACATAAATTGCAAGAGGAAGTTTTTAATTGAATTTAATCTAATGCGGTATTAATTAGTGTAGACTAGAATATGTCTGCAGTTTTGAAGAGTGTTTCCTTATAGTCCAGAGAAACAAGGTAAAAAAGTACTCTGTTAAGGATTTTGACCCGGCCAATTATCTGATAAGTTTTTTGAGTTTTATGGAGTTCGATAACCAAAAAGTTATGTTTCCTGCAGTGGATTCGATGAAGTTTTTAATTTATTAACAAGTTAAGGTCAAAAATCCACCATTTTAAGATGCGATTGCTTAGAATTATGGGTTCCCCTTCCACTCTCCACTATTAGTCTGAATTTAAACCAAATTTTTGTACAAAAACTACGAATTCTTTTCTTTCGAATGCCGATAATTGAGTTTTTTAATTGGTATAAACAAATTAGCTGTGAATTAAAAAAAAACTAACTTTCTCCCAATTTATTGTAGAACAACTTTTTTTTTAAATTCGTGTAAAAATGTCAGCTTTTCAAATGGAAAAAAAGTTACCTTCGAGCAATAGTTTAAAAGTTATTCTAAATGTTTATAAATCAAAAATATCCGTTACTTTACAAAAGTTTTGCGTTTTGCTGTTTTTTTTTATTGTATATTGATAGTTTAACACTCAAACTTTCATTTGGTCAATCGATAATCAATACCGTCTAGATGTCCACATCTTAAGACTTGCCGCCTTATCATGGTGAACTAAAACCAATAGAAATGGTGTGGAGTGAAGTGAAAGGGTACGTGTCCTCCTAGAGTTTCAAACAAAACACCGTTAAAACATTGATTTACGAAAAGTTTTTAAGATTTAGATGAAAGAAATTTTCATTATATAGATCTTAAGTTTAGTGAAATGTCTGGAACTATGGATATGATGTAAAATCCGTCAAAAAAATTGAAGTCTACGTGTCAGGTTACTCGTTTAATAATTATTAATATTATGACTAGTAATTAATAGTAATCGTGTGGCGTGATATGTATTCATGTAGTGTCTTCAACTACAATATAATTATGTATTAGAGTAATATAATTCCAATGAGTCACTTATAGAAGATACCACACGACGTGCCACAGATCGAAGATATTTAAAGGGATTTTTATATCCGTCATTCGTCATTCTTTTTTGGTAACATTTTATTACTTGGTGGTTATATTAGTCAGTACTACACATATTTCGATTTGTAATGATGGAAAAAGATAACCACCACAATACTATACTCGATTTGGATATGCGCATTACCACAATTATACGTTCTTTATACAGTGACTGTTATGGATGTTAAGGATGGTCATTTTGCCATCAATTGGAAATCATCCATAAAGAGATAATATAAACTCTTTCACACAGCATTGTTATTTCTCATCCTAAAACTATAGTCAGTGAGATTCAGTAGCTGGTATAGTGAGATTATTGCTAAACAAAATCATAGTGTAAAGGTTATTCCACGAATATTCGACTGTTTTGGATTCAATTAGTTCAGTTAATAGATGTTCAGCTAAATTTATTATGAAATTTAATTCGTAAATAACAAAAAGATTTTTACGTAAACGCTCCTGCAAATAAATACAATGACGACTATGAAGCCAAATGTGTTCATCAGTTGGGTTTCGGTGAAATGTAGTCATCAAACAGACGTGTCGGGTTTCTTTTGATATTACACTATTTTATTACTTTATTAGGTACTACAACTGTAATAAAAAGAAATATACTACAGTAGACTCCCTTTTTAACGAGATCTGAAATGGCAGACTAATTACCTCGTTATAACTCGATCTCGTTATATCAAACAATAATAATGATGTGCATACATTTGAATATGTAGTGAACACAATCAAACGATTTTCAGTAGTCTTATAAGACATGCTATATATCCTCATTCACGCCTAGACATGTCAATAACCCCCTCTGTGGCTCAGTGGTAAGAGCGCCTGCCTTTAAATCTAAAGGTCGTGAGTTCGAATCCCACCTGGGTGGAAATTTTCGTTTATTAAAAAAATTAATAAATGAAAATAATTTCTATCCTTGTGTGATCGGTACACACCGGAGGGACCGCAGACGTTCGGATACAATTAGCGTCTCTTAGCAAAGACAATGACGTCGACTTTGCTAAGTATCAAGCCAATTACTCTACACACACAAACACACACAAACACACACACACACACACACACACACACACACACACACACACACACACACACACTACATTAATAAACTTATCTTGATTGAGACTGGCTGAATGACAATTGTCCAAGCCAAAACACACAAAAAAAAAAAAAAATAGACATGTCAATATATTTACGGAATAAAGAATTTCTCGTGTTCTCAGTCCATTTCTAAATTCGAATTGAGTGTTTTCTATCTGAAGTTTGGATTTTTGAGTTTTTTTGATATGATTATGACTACTTTAACCTGGTGATATTTTACCTGAGATATATCTTGAATTGAATACTGCTCTCTGGTTATAACTTCTATTTTCTGTATGTTTAATGCATGAATAACTGTAGTTATTGTAGGACCTTTCCATTTATTTGTTTGTCTATGTTTCCTTTCTTCTTGCTGCTTTCTGTGTCAGCGTGATATTTATTTTATTTTCTTGTTGTACGATAAAAGCGTCGTCTATTTCCTGAAGGTGTTCGATTTTTAACATTTTATTTTGTTTACATCCGATTTAGCTTCGCTGCACTTTTCTTAACGATTTTATTGTCTTTCTTCTATTCAGTTGGGTTGGTTTTGTGCTTTCGCTCTTCATTCTTTAGCTTAATGATGCCTTGTATTATTCATTCTTTTTTTTGTTTTCTTCTGGATTTTAAATCATTTTTGTTTTTAAAATATTCGATATTTTTTTAGCTTCTTCATTTCGTATCATTGCATGGTCTTTATTTCTTTCTCTGTCTTGCTACTTGTTTCTTTATTGTGCAGACTTTTTAGTTCTGCAATGCCTATTTTTATTACTAATTTTTCTATTTAGACTTTCAGAAATTGCTTGAAATTTTAAAATTGATTACAACTGAATTATGGCTGTTATAAACTTTAAAGTAAGTTTTAATGTATTTCTTATAGGGCAGGTCAAATATAATGAAATCAATTACATTAAGGACACTTTTTCTCATTTTATTAAACTGTATGATCTGGATATCCGAGCGAAGAATATTTTTGTTTTCTAAATATTGTACTGTAGCAGTTACTATAATTTCTGTATAATTTTACTACTTAATAAAACTTCTAGAAGCGATTAATATGCAAAAAAAGTAAGATTGTATTTTTAGAATTGTTTATTAATCGTTTCAATATTTATATGGATCAAGTTGTATGCACATTATGCAAACTATATAAATTTTTGTTTAAACTGTGTACGGAATTATAAAAATGTATTAACTTTGCTCAATTCCCAAATAATCCTTTCCAAAATAATTCTTGAAAGTTTATAGTTACTAGCAACTAACAAAATATTGTTGTTTTTAGACATATGCCCCAAACCCAACGATACAGCGACAGATTTGAGCCGAAAATCGCACGTGGAAGAATTCGATGAAGGAGTCCCCCAACTTTTTTCTCTCCTAACCGACTTTCCGGACACTTACAAAAGATGGGATTCGAAATCGTTTCCCATAGACATGGAACTGAATTATTACGAACCCAAGAAGGAAATCAAAATATCGATGTGTAAGTATTATAAACTTTAAAAGATTTTACTGAATTTTCCAATGTTGATCATTTTGCAAATTAATATATAAAAAGAGTTACATTAGGAAAAACTGCAAACTTCATTAAAAAGGGATCATAACAAATGTTTAAGAATTTGTAGTATGTTATTTTTCTAGCAGTTGTATATTTTGTCTCTCAAAAGGTCCCAGCCAATTTTTCTAAAACCAGCTATTCTTGCCACTTTTTCCTTGTATTTGTTGTACTTCTTTCGGCAACTTGACCCTGGTCTTCTTAACATTGGTTGATGATCATTTTAGCATTAATAGCTTCCCTTGTTGTCATTCTACTCATTTCTGCTGAACGTTAGTACTTATTTTTAATTAACTAACTTTCTGTGCTTTATATATTATGCTGATCTTAATAAAACGTAATGTATGAAAGACTTAGACCATACGCTGAAAAAATAGTTGGCAAATACCAATGTGGCTTCTGTAGACAGAAGTCAACAATAGACCAGATATTTGTTCTGCGACAGATCCTTGAAAAAACAAGTGAATATAACATCGACACACATCATCTCTTCATAGACTTCGAAAGCGCATATGACAATATAAACCGAGAATTCCTAACAAAAGCAATGAAAGAATTTAATATACCAACACAGCTAATAGAATTGATAAAAGAAAAACTAAAAGTAGAAAGTAAAATCCGGATACAAAACGAATTAACGGAAACAATAGATGTGAAGAAGGGACTACGCCAGGAGACGCTCTATCATGCATATTATTCAACATCATACTTGAAAAAATAATAAGAGACACAACAGTTAATACCCGAGGAACAATAATTAATAAAAGCGTGCAAGTACTAGCATTTGCAGATGATGTTGACATAATCGCAAGATCAAGAAGAGAAATGATAGAGGCATTCACTCAAATAGAACGAGCTGCAAAAAATAGTGGTCTTAAAATCAATCAGACAAAAACAAAATATATGCTTGCAAATAAAAACGCACAAATAAGGCAGCTGCCAAATTTAACAATAGGAGAATACAACATTGAGGCGGTAAAAAACTTTACATACTTAGGATCCCTAGTTACGTCTGATAACAACGTTGCAGAGGAAGTGAAGAGGAGAATATTTATTGTCAATAAATGTTACCATGGCTTAATTAGGCAACTAAGATCAGATAACGTCTCCAGAAAAACAAAATGCCAAATATACAAAACCTTAATAAGACCGGTACTCACATACGGTTCAGAAACCTAGACACTCTCTAAAAGGGAGGAAACGTTATTAGCCACCTTTGAAAGAAAAATCTTGCGACACATATATAAGGGCACAAAAGAAAACGGGATTTGGCGGAGAAGGTATAACTTTGAACTATACAACATATACCAGGATCCGGATATCATAACATTCATTAAAATAGGAAGGCTACGTTGGATTGGACATGTGGAAAGAATGGAAGAAGGCGAAATACCAAACAAAATATTCAAACAAGTGCCAGTAGGAAAAAGAACAAGAGGAAGACCGAAGCTGAGATACGTAGAACAAATAGAAAATGATATAACAACATTAAAAATTAAAAACTGGAAAAAAAAGCACAAAACAGGTCAGAATGGAGAAGAAACCTTGAACAGGCCAAGACCCAAAAAGGGTTGTCGAGCCAGTGATGATGATGATGGTGATGATGATCTTAATAGCACATCTATCAGGCAGCACATCAATTGCTTCCATCATTTTCTTCATTTAGTAAACGCATACTTTGAACCAAAATATAAGACAGAATTCGCTTTTAAGATATTTATTTCGATCTAAATAGACACATAAAAACATAAAAATAATTTTGTTATTCCAATTGTATATAAATTCTATATGTGCTTGTTCGGTTTTTGTAGACCTTAAAAGGATAGTGTGGTGATATTTGACCCGTGTATAACAAGTCGATGATTGTGGGAATTAATCAGGAGTTAACATGTTCAGCACATCTGTTCCATTAGGTAGTAGGTAGATAGGTATTCTTCGTTCAACACACAAAGTTCTCGGTTCTGCCCTTTCTCGCTTTTATTCGGCCAGTAGCGGTATCAAAACATGTTTTGTTAAATACATACGAGTACTCTAGACAATAAGGGTATATTATCGTCATGCATTGTTGAACGTAACTTTACTAGACTTAAAGATATCACCTAGAGTAAATAACTTGTGATTTTTAGTAAGCGTCGAGCAAGAAGTGGACCCAGCCAAGCAGAACACCATAACGGTCAACTGTACAGTCGCTTTTTGGGCGCAATGTATGAGCTGGAGGAAGTGCAAGACTAGTTGCCAGTCGATGGGTGCCTCTAGCTACCGATGGTTCCACGATGGCTGCTGCGAGTGTGTAGGAGAATACTGTATCAAGTACGGTATCAACGAAAGCAGGTAAACGATAACATTTTTCTTCTTTCTCAGGTTTTCCATTTTCAGGGATCGCTTTTTCCTTTTTCTCTTAAGTCCTCTGCCACACAGTCTTTCCATCTTCTTCTTGGTTTTCCTCTACCTCTCCTTCCTTCAACTTCTAACAGGTCTATCTTTATCATATAGTTCTTATTTCTACATCTGACGTGACCAAACCTTTGTTCTTAAGCCGTTCTTGAGTCTTCAGTCAACTCGGCTCTTTCGCTAATCACGCCATTCCTGATCTTGTCCATTTTAGTCTTACCCAATATCCACCACATTTTCATTCGTTACTTTCATCTTCTTTTCCGGAATTTCCTTTTACAGGCCACCCTTTAACACCATACGCTAACGCAGGCCTCAGCACACTCTTGTATATCTTTCCTTTTAGCTCTTCCCCAATTTTTCGATCACAGAGTACCCCATTCAATCGCTTTCAGTTAAACCAACCAGTCTGTATCCTGTCCTATCCTTAAATTCTCCTACTCGTCCTATTTTTCCTTACGTAATTCGATGTCTCAACCATTTTGGTTACTCCCAATCACATATACTCTGTTTTCGACCTGCTAATCTTAAGTCTTTCATCTTCAATAGCTCTTCTTTAACTGTCAGATTTCTCCTTTAACATCTCTTTGCTCTCCTCTAAAACACGATATCGTCCTTAGAGAGCATTGCCTAAGAGGCCCACTCTCTTCATTTCTCGGTCAGTACATTCATAACAAGATTAAAAAAGAAGGTACTTTGCTACCTTGTATCCTTATCTTCCTCTCTTTTAGATCTCTGATACCCCTTTCTAGCCTCTTTCTTCTCCCTTGCAGTTCCGCTCTACCACCAAGTTTGTGTGTCCTTAGGAGGCCACATCAGATTAATTTCATAGCACTTCCTCTCCCACTTGTATCACGATTTTGCTGTGGGATTCCCATCAGTCATTTAGCATATTTTTTTCCTCAAACTTATTCAGGACTCCACTTTTTACTTTTGTCAAATTCTTATCCTTATCGTGATTAAATGAAGCTATATTTAGTTAAATGGTAACAATTCAAAATCTGCTTCCAAATATCATTAACAAAGTACAATATATTATTTTATGATCTCACTGGTAACCGAGTTCATAAACCATTCCGCTCTCTTGTTTACATAGTTGCTCTCTTTTAAAAGCATGTGTCGTCATATCTAATCCTATTACTAATTCAAGCATATCATCTCCAGCTCCATTTCTAGTTCTAAAGCCTAGTCCTGCATTTATTGCTTTATATTCCATCTTGAATTTTCCCACATATGCATTAAAATCACTTTTACTCTGATGGAAGATCAGTATTTCTTTTAATTGATGATAGAAAGCTTTTCTTTAATTCTCATCCAGCCTTGTTTGAGGGACATACACATACGTCATTCGATACTACATTATCAAGTACAAATTGCACTGATATTTTTCTATCACTCGCCCCTACTGTTTAAATCGTTGAATAAAATTGATTGGTCGCTGGTTAATCGTGGTGGTAAATAATAATTGATAGATAGGGTCAAGAAATAACTTGTTATTGTTGACGGAATCTCTTCACACGTTCTTTATTGTGCTCTTATGGTTCCATATGGAAAATTATACTGCCTGTATAAAATCGCAACGGCTTTGCCTACGGATTACAGGGTTGCCGTCTGGGCAAATTAAAACTTATGGCTAAGAAATTACATTTACATAGAATAAAATATTTTTAAACAAATTTAAACACCTACAACTTCTACTACGTTATCTTTCATGTCACTATCAGCCTTTATACAATATAAACCATCTGCATACCTAATGTTAGTTTTCCCTACATACCACAATTTGTATCCTTCACCAAAATGTTTCGTCCTTTTCTATCAGCATAATATCTTACACGATTTAGTCAACACACCAAGAATGTACCATCTTACCCGCTTGCATTTTTCTATATAGACCGTGATCCTCATGATAAGAACTGCCGTATAAGCCAATATACAGCCCGTATTCCGCCATGAAGAGGCACGTACTTTATTCGGAATACTAATAGTAATCTATTTAAGATAAAACGTGGTCGTGGCTTTATGTTTGTGGTTTATGATATTTTTTTGTCAGGCAGAAAAAGGTAGAAAATATTAGTTTATTAATTATTCAAGTGAACACTTTTAATAGACAAGCTGTAACGTTCCAACGAACATTCATTGGACGTCAATCTATGACGTGCCAACAAATATTCATTGGGTGCCAATTTGTATCCCTTCGAGTCTCAATTTGTAACATCCCAACGTTGAGCTGCTGTTGTCAACCTGTAACCGCAAACCTTAGTTTGCTGCTACAACCTGACTAACATCACTAACAACGTTGGAGTGACAAATCGTTTCCCGTTGGGACCAATTTTTAACGTCATAACCCCTAATGTATCAATTACAAAATTGCTACATTAGACGTTATACGAAACACTCCCTGGCTAGCTCACTCAGGACGTGAATATGGCCTACTCTGGAGCAACACACACAAACAAGTAAAAGGAAGAAACAATACACAGTTAAATTAACACATGTTTATTAAAATATAAAAAAAAACAGAAAAATAAATGTTAAGTATCGTATTTAATTTAAATAAAAATTATTCGACTTCTTGCTACAGTGTTACATTAGGTATATGAAAGAACAATGTTTGTCACCAAATCCTAAGTTTTATCCTGGTCTTTTCTGCTCTGGTTGTTAGCAAGCCATGTTAGTTTTGGATTTTCTTGTCCCGGAGTCAACTCTCCTATTGGAATGATGGTTCCATTCTCAGGCCGGTTGGTCTTCTGGATGTTAATAGAATTTGACCCGCACCTGAGAAATGTATCCCGGAGGTTGACTAAAATGAAGAAAAACACACCTTTTTTTATATAAAATAAAAAAACATAAGAAATCCACAAAACATGTACCTACTTACATGTCATTCATAAATAATGAGCTTAGAATTTTTAAAGTTAAAATTATAAAAAGATTTTTATACAACAGGTGGAATTAGGAAATCGATAAAATATATTATACACTTACCTCCAAATATGGAGACGACACAACAATTGGTTATTCTACTCTTAGAGAAGTCATGAAGAAAATCGACCTTTTCAGAAACAAAAGCCATTATATGGACTTTTGTATCGAACGGGAAGGAGAAATGTCGACAGAGAATAAAGATGGGACCTCTCGTTCCAAAGTAACAGAAATAGAGATAAAAATAAAATTCACTCTTTAGAAATTTGAGTTAAAGATAAAAATGATGATTATTAAGAAAATAGGAAAGGTAGATACTAAAATATATATATAAAGAAGATAGATTTGAACGCCAACTGGTTTTTATACCAAATACCAGTAAAAATGAAAAGAGAATAATAAATCAATTAAGTAACGACATTATTCTGATACAATCTATATCCGAGAAAATATATAGAAAAATAAGAGATACAATGGAGGATATAGAAGAACATGAATTATGACAGAAGATATGGAAATTGGAGAATATAATTAACGAAATATATTAACATAAGAAAGACAGCAGGCAATGTAGCAGTTATAACGCTACAAAGCTTGCCACAACTTTGGTTAGTAGGAAAAACATCTCGCATTGTAGGAATAACGTAGTAATGTAAGTTGCATACATTTGGGGTAATTCGTTGTTAATTTAAGGATAAATAAAAATGAATTCATTCTGTTACTCCAGTCTTCAGTGAGGAAAATACCACTGAACCTCAAAAACAAGACAAGGGTCCTCCCAAAATTGGCATTCTCAGCAAAATTCAGCTTATTCATATGATTTTTAGGGGTCAAATATCTGACAACTGGACTATATATTTATTTATTGGTCTCTTTTCATTAATTTTTCTTCTTATAAATTACTACGTTGTAATTATTAAAGACTTCTTCTTAAAGTGCCCCCTCCTCAATGGAGGTTGGCTACTACAATTTTAAACTCTTCTCTTTCTTCAGCTGTTCTTATTAGCTGTTCAAAATTTAGCCCTGTCCATTGTCGGATGTTTCTGAGCCACGATAGTCTTTTCCTTGCTAGGCCTTTCTTTCCCTTGATTTTTTTTCCTCGATTTTTTTTTCGATTTTTAGATTAAAGACTAAGCAGGACTTTGTTGATTTGAAATTCAGCATTTTCTTTTAATAACTATGCTGTGCATGGTTTAAAATTTTGCAGTTTCAAATTTCATATTGATAGCAAAGCCATTCCGAATATATTTTATTTTCTATTATACAAAAGGGAGTTCGGTAAAAATGCATGAAAGAAGTTGTGAAAGTGTGTAAAGTGCATGCCTTTCTGAATTAGAATCAAACGTTTGTTAATTACTTTTTAATGTTTTAGATGCTCTGAATGTCCTCAAAGCGAAGAAAGTAAACAGGACAGCGATGATAACGAAGATGACTACGATTACGGCGAGCACGATGAAGATGACGAAGACGATGATCTACACAACAGTCCAAATCTCTGATAGTTGTAGGAATAGTTTAACTTTTTAAGCTTATCGTTTATTTCCGTGTACAGTGTTACTTTAGCCAACATTGTACGATAATGGTTTTGTTAAAGCTAGTTCTTTAATATCATCAACCAATTCGGTTTTTTTAAATGATAGTGGTTTGTCTCTTCTTTAACTATTGTTATCCCAGTGTATTGAAGCTAACGTTAGTCTAATCTATAATTTTAATTTATTAACTAATAGTTAGGAAATACGTAAGTTGTTTTTTTATAAGATAAAACTAACCCATAGAATCTAATGCAGATTTAATATTAAATAGCATTAAGAAAACAATGAGGTATATTGACTTTCAGGTTAATTTTGTGTGCAACAGATATTTATATATGTACAATAATATGATATAACTAATTTTAGATGCCTAAAGTGTTTATACTATATTTAGTTATGAGGTGAACTGGCTTGTATTGATTTTATTACTGCTTTAGATACTTTATGACTGTTGACGACATTGTTCATCATTTTAATTTATTTTTGATTCAATTATTACTTTGACAATTGAGTACAGATAAATGATTTCTTGTTGTGTTGTACTTTGTTTGGTAAAGGTACTTTTAAGCCTTGAATTATATTTCCAGGCTACACATCTTTTTTAAATGATACTCGATAGTAGTCAATGGTCTTTCTGGTTTTAATTTAAATTGCAAATTGCAATTTACTATTTTTACTTGGAATTAACCACAATTTGACTTTAAAATAAGTTTATTTGGACGATTTGGTTTCCACTTCGGAAATTTTATTAAAATACACTTAATAAATTAAACAAATTTTATAATTTGTTACCGTTTGTATTCTGAGAACAATTTTGAAAGTGGAAATCGAAACCTCAAAATAGATTTGTTTTAAAGTAAAATTCCCAGCTTACTCACAATAAAAATAGTAAATAGCATTAATTTACGTAAATCATATACAGCATATTTTCATAAATCCAAAAACCTCCGATTCGGGAGGATTCGTATAATTATGATATTTCTATATATTCTAAATAATAAGTTATCGATTTTAATTATATGTTAAATATAATGTAATTAGTTGTTTATATATTAAAATTACAGCCGTCCATAACAAATTGTATTACTTTTTGTAAGTACTAACGGGAACTGTAAAGTTCTAGATTTGTATTTGATAACTAAAAATATTTTAAAAATAAAAAGATGTTTTATTTAATACCTAACTCGTAAAAGATCCTTTATTTTAAAATACTTATGAAGGCAGAAGTATCAGCGTCGACTAAAGTGCAAACGTAAACGTAAGAGGCAAAAACAATTTCGAAATTTCTTTTATAAAAATCAATAGAAAACAATAAAATCGTGCTTAAAACTTATACAATAAAGTTCGTGAATATGAAGTAATAGCGTTAATAAAAATTTAAAGAGCGCCCCTTTTAGGTGAATTGCTGAACTACATAGTTCATATGTTTTGCCGCAGTGACGCTAGTAAATTTTTTTTTACAGCGCCGCGTATCGGAAATTTGCTGAACTACATGGTTGTGGCGCTAGTAACAATTTTTACAGCGCCCCTTTCGGAGACTTGATGAACTATATAGTTCATAGTTTTTGCCACAGTGGCACTAGTAAAAATTTGAGGAGCGCCCTCTTTGGGAGAACTGCTGAACTACATAGTTCATAGGTTTTGTCGCAGTGGCGCTAGTAAAAATTTTTTACAGCGCCGCCTATCGGAGACTTGCTGAACTACATAGTTCATAGGTTTTGCCGCAGTGGCGCTAGTAATAATTTTTTTCTACTCTCTTACTAGTAAATTGTATATTACCTACTATTTGGATGCTAAGTAAATGCATCATAACAGATACTGACACGTAATGACTAGCACGTAATAAAAAAAATTACGCTTCAGTTTTATAAAATGTGTAATATCACATAAGCCTCGTAAGTCAGTTGGTCGAGTTACCATGGAAACGAATTAACGTTTCCATGGTAACGTTATTTTGACAGATTAAAAATTATTAAACTGTCAGTGTAAATATAGTGGTAATTTAATTTTTATTTTTATAAACGAAAATAAGGGTAGAAAAAGTATAGTACACAACTTGAGTTGTAAGATTATTACATGCTTGTAAAATTAGTGCGCTCGCCGCTACGCGGCTCGCGCGCAACTTTTTTACTCGCATGTAATAAGCTTCTTACAACTCTCGTTATGTAATATACTATTACAGCGCCCATTTCGGAGACTTGATGAACTACATAGTTCATAGGTTTGCCACAGTGGCGCTAGTAAAAATTTGAGGAGCGCCCTCTTTGAGAGAACTGCTGAACTACATAGTTTATAAGTTTTGCCGCAGTGGCGCTAGTAACAAGTTTTACAGCGCCCCTTTCGGAGACTTGATGAACTACATAGTTTATAGGTTTTGCCGCAGTGGCGCTAGTAGCAATTTTTACAGCGCCCCTTTCGGAGACTTGATGAACTACATAGTTCATAGGTTTTGCCGCAGTGGCGCTAGTAACAATTTTTACAGCGCCCCTTTCGGAGACTTGATGAACTACATAGTTCATAGGTTTTGCCACAGTGGCGCTAGTAAAAATTTGTGGAGCGCCCTCTTTGGGAAAACTGCTGAACTACATAGTTCATAGGTTTTGCCGCAGTGGCGCTAGTAAAAACTTTTTAGAGCTCCCTCTTTAGGAGAATTCCTGAAGTATGTAGTTCTAAAGTTTTTAGAAAGAGGCGCTAGTAAAGATTTAACGAGTGTTCCCTTTCGGACAAATGCTGAACTACTTAGTCCGTAGGTTTTGCCGTAATGGCGCTAGTAAAAACTTTAAGAATTGCTGACAAACAGTTCTTTCGAAATGGAAATTTAAAATAAAACAATTTTATGGTTTTACAGTTTTTATTGCAGGGGAGACAATAAGAATATCGATTTATCACATCCATTATAGTATTGACTAAATCAAATTTTATCAGTACATTATTTTTATACAGTGTGGTCTATTAATACAATGACACAAGCAAATTACAGTTTACAACGTTTCAATTTTTTAGGTCGTAATGAAAACAAAAATGTATATAAATGCTTAAATATTGTATAGTTAAATAGATTATTTAATTTAAATGAAAAAACATTCCGCCTTTTATATATTATGTAAACTTCAAACCAAATATTTCTAAAATTACAAAAATTTACATAAAATCTTTTAAGATACTCTTTATTCTGTCTATATTCTTTACAAATGACGTTCATTGGTCGAAAGTAAGCAGACAAATATTATTTACTTTGACTTTTTAGAATATACCTTTACGAAAATTAATGAAAGAATAGGGAAAACGTGCTGTTTGCAATTTTTTGCAATACAGAGTTTAAAATATGCAATTAACATTAATCGATACTTGTATATGTATCATAAAAATATCTAATTAAAATAGGAAACTAGTTCTAACCGCTGCATTTGACGTAGGAGATACCTAAAGAGTTCTTTATTCCATTATAATAGACCACCTTATAAAAAATCGTACCAAAATCGCTTAAAAATAACACATGTAAATGTAAATCATATAAATGTTCTCATTACATTGATTTTCTTTTACCGATATTTTACAATTTATAAAGAAGAAAAGTCCTTATATAAGTAGAGTAAAGGTAAAGGAAAAAAGTCTTGGGTAGTATGGACACAGTAATAGCAATCAAGAAACTAAAAATGGACTAGGAGAAGAAAAAAGACAGAGATAGTAAATGTTAAATACTTGAAAATAATATTTAGGTATATGGGTTTCATTTATACGATTTGCACAACACAGTAATTTAAAACTCTAAAATTTGATCTAGCCTATGAGAAATCTCTTGTTGTTTATTTGAATTGACATACAGTACATTAAGCTCGATAGAATAAACAATTATTCAAAAAAAAAAGTAAGAAAAACTGCAAGCAACAGCACGGACTGAGTTATTTGGTACATTTAGGATAATTCTGAGAAGAAATGTAAAAGCTAAAACTACATCTTACACATATTTTAGAGAATGATTGCCATAATTTTCATATACAGATCTTCTAGAGTATCCTACAAAATATAAATAATCTTTAAATATGTATTGAATCACTAGACACGTTTCCGGGCTTAATTGTTCCGTATTGTCTTCAATAATGTCTACTTTAGCCTCCTGAGAAACTTTAAGAAGAAAAAAAATTGTACATCACGGCATATAAGCCCGGAAAATAACGTATCATTATGAAATACCGGCCGTGAAAACCTATCCTCCACGTACTGGATAGTTCAAAGCATAAATTTTTAAATCTAGACAAAAAACGGACGTTAGGAAATAATATTAACATATAGAAGACTCGAAAACAGTATTGAAAATTTTTGGCCAAATGCATTTTAAATCTTTTTTTCTGTGCATGCTACTTCACAAATACTTAAATAAGGTTCTCGCTTAAAAACCAATATTATCTGTGATTTTTATATGATCTGATCTCAAGGCAAAATTACTAAAACATTTAATCAAAATACAAACATATTTGAGTTTTTAAAATTAATTAAACTAGGCTAGTCAGCTGACATAGTTATTAATGACTTGCGCCAAATATAGACAACTTACAGTTCTTTATTGCAGTGTAGGTCCAATCAGTTCACATTCCTCAAATTAATTAATAAAATTCACAAACAAGTGGAAGCTCAAAGATGTAGTTAATTGAATTTTGTAAATTTTAAAAACTTTTAAGTTGTTTTTAAACTAAGTTTTTGATTTATGGTTTTATTCACACACTGTGGACAAGGGCTTCAAGCTTTGACAGTTTTGGTGGATGAGCGAATACATCTTTCAAAAGAATAAACTTTGCTCGATTGCAGCCTTATTGAAAAACTCATAAAAACCGATATTACAGTAGAATGTGTTCATATCTGATCTGAATATAATTGACATGCTTTAATAAACCACGTCTAATGCACTGAACTATTCAATAAATGTAGAACTAAGTTTACACCTGGGTAAGATAAAATATTTCAGTCAAAATACAGTAAATTATGTATCAAAAAATTATATCTCACTTTTTGGCTAATCTGCAAATTGAGCAATATTTTATGTGTGTATTGTTGTAACTGTTAAATATATTATAAATTATTAATCAGTGTACGTAGTTTCTACTATAAAAAACTTTCTATCACTAAAAAACTAAATTTTATCTAAATTTAATTCTTACAGACGAGCGGTTTACCCTTCTAAGCAAGGCCCAAATCCACCATTTTTTTTGTATTTCTACCATAACAAACCATTTTTATTCGATTGTATATATTTTTCAAGTTAAATTGTAGTTTCAACTTTTCCAAGTGAATCACAATTCAAATAAGCTTTATAATCTTTAAACCCTAAAGTATAAGTAGGAATAATTTGACAATTTATTGCTGTATACGATAATAAGCTTGTACGGTTACGGCGATACAGGCCCTCGGCACTTGGAAATTTTTGTTTAAATTTCAAACAATGTTCTACTCTGTGACTCTGTTTAACTATGTATAGAGGCCGTAAAAAAAGCTACACTTGCGAACAATACAGGTAGCAAAGCCCGATTACATCCCCAGTTGAAATTAAAAGTAGCTATTGGTAGCTAAAAAAAGGAAAGCTAGGACCAAACGGAACCAAACATATGCCACAGCAGACAAGACTACATTAAACAGGCTAAGCAATCAACTAAAATCTAAACTTAAAGAGGCACAAGAACTGTCATTTATAAACTACAAACTCCAAAAAACCCAAGACTCCGGTACCTCCAATTAGAAACGAACAGGAACCAACACTACAGTGGGTCAGAAGTGATAAAAAAAACAACCCGATTTGCCGAGCACCTAGCTCAAATATTTACTCCCTATAACGACGGTCCAGATATTGAAATTGAAAGGGACATACATAACATTCCAGAGAACATACCAGTAATCAAACCACTAACCAAAAATGAAGTTCAACAACAAAGCCAATTTTTAAACATTAGAAAAGCTCCTGGGCTGGACAAAATAACATCCAAGATGATGAAGGAACTACCAGATAAAGGAATCATACTGATCACTCTCATCTTCAATGCTATTCTACGATTGAACTACTGGCCAATAATACTAATCCCAAAAGTAGGAAAAAATCCAAACGAGGTTTCATCATATAGAACAATAAGCCTAACACCAGTCGTATCCAAAATACTTGAAA